CGTTGCATTTTCTCACTTGGACTTTAAGATGATGTTTTCGTTGCATTTTCTCACTTGGACTTTAAGATGATGGGTTTTGTCTAGATGAGTTTTTCCGATATCTTCATTTACATTTTATACTGTCCGAGTTCATAATGCTCTGGCTCTGTGTGCTATTGGAACTGAGCTTGATGAATAGTTTAGATTTTGTCAACCCTGAATTTAACGGGATGGGAAATCATCTCAAAAGGGTGACACTATTTTTATACAAGTCCGTAGATAACATGGACCAAATTATTATATATTTTTTTAATGGTTCGAACTGTTTATATGCCTCAAATAGTTTGTGCAAGCATATTTTCTCATATTTTCCTATCACTTGGGATTCATCTCTCAAGCTCCTACGTTTTTTCTTGGATAATGAGTGCTATTGAAATAATAAGTAAATTGTTCATTCTTTAGGAAATAGGAACCTCGTTTGTGAAAGCAACAAACATGCTACAAGTTTCACACTTCTTGAATAGAGATAAAACCTCTGTATTGTACTAGATAGACATGGCCGGCATATGATAATTATGAAGAAAAAAAAAATGTTTTACTAAATTCTTTGGTTATGTGCTGTTGCATATGCATCCAGATAAATTACATATAATTATTGAATAACTACGTCGTCAATCGTCATAGTCTTTTTATTTTTCTTTGTCACTTAAAAAAATCAATAAACAATTATAAAATAAAATTTAAAATTTAATAATCTGCATTACAGATTGGAAAAAATAGATTTTATAAAAATAAAAATGATACATAATTCTTTCCACCGCCCTCCGGAAAAGGGAGTGTTGTACCCCGACAACTGAACATGGCCTGCTAGCAGCATTCACAAATTAGATATAAATGCACGTCTTTCGGAACAAGATCTATTACATACACTCTACACCAATTACGTCCTTCTTTCATTTTTTTTTGAACTTGATCAAACCATGGAAGACACCCATATATAAATTTACCACAAAATAACAACAACAAAAATATATATATATATATATATATATATATATATATATATATATATATAATTATTGCTAGAATTATCTCGTACTTTATATGAAACCATTTTAATCAAATTATATTTTTAAAAAAATAGCTAACTTAGTTAAGAATATTAAAATTTTCAATAATTTAAATTATTTTTTTAAAAAATTAACCTTTTTTTTTTACTTAATCATTTATCATTTGATTAATTAATGTTTAAAAATGAAATATTTATGTGCCCATTTATTTTCCAAAATTCTGATAAGAGAGACAAGTTTTATTCAATTAATTTCAAATAATTATTATCTTGTCTAAAAAAATATTTATTAAATAAAAATATTTTAAAGAAAATATAATTAATACAACTGATAATTAAGAGGGTCTTATGAAAAAAAGAAAGGGCAAAAAATTGAAAAAGTTATTATTATATATATGTGTACACGCACGCGCGTGTGTGTCTGTATGTAAATAAAAGTAATATAAATTTATATTATACACCGATTTATAAATGACTTAGATTAAAAATTAGTACCACGACTACTTCAAAAACTAATTATATGCAAATAATAATAATAATTTATGAACTATAATGATTTATTTATATTTGTAGTTCCCAATTCTCATAATAAGAAAATTCTCATTTGATGTTTTCTCACTCTATAAAGAGAAAACATGTATAAGGGGTAAATTTTAATTCTACATTTAAAATCAATAGTTAATATTATATATATATATATATATATATATATATATATATATATATATATGATTCTATGATTAAAATTACTTCGTCTCATTTTAACCTGTATGTGTTGAGGCAGTTAAAATTTTATTAAAAATATAGTATATTTTTGTCATGATTGTTAATAACAATAAATAAATAATAATAAAAAAAGCGGTTTATTGATTTCTTAACCATTGTTGAGAGGGTGGAGAAAGAATAAGAAATGAGGAGCATTTATTCAATGAAATGAAAAACAACAGCTGATTCCGTGAATAACCTTAACGATAATCTCACCAACGATAATGATAATAAGATGAACTTTTTGAAATAAGAAAATTTAATGCTACATGAAAGATGACCATCTTTGTACATAAAGTGTTCAAATAGAATAAGCTTTCTTAAAACGATTTCACAAATACCAGCGCATAAGCTTTCTCGCTTGAACAAGCTACGCATATGCATGAACAAGAGACAATAAAGAGTGATATTATTATCATTAAATTTTGTAAGTTTGGATACGAGACAAGTAACCTCGAGAGGAGAAACATCAACAAGCAAAATTTGATTACTAGATTTTTTTTTTATAATTTTATAATTGCTTACATACATACACACACCTTGCTTAAAATTTATGAAATTATGAAGAAAAAAAAAAAGATTAAACGAGTAGTGAGAGAGTCACGTCTCCCATCCATTTTCTAATTAGAAAGTGAATCTCTCTACATTTGTGATTGAAGCACTTGCATTTCCTGAAGTCACATCTCCCCTCCAAAACTCTGACATGAACACGGACATGTAACAAGACACTTACACAAATATTGAAATATAGTTGATGTCTAAAAAGTAGATATAGGAACATGATATGCAAGTGCTTAATTAAGAGTAAAAGTCGTTTCATTCTCTTAATTGGGGTTGTTTTAGTTCCATAATATTTTCAGTGTCTCCATTTTGTCTATGGCATTGTTGTTGTTCAATATACTGTCTTCAAATAACCATAAGTGATATCTCCCGAGTGAGTGTTTTGAGTGCTTTCATTCCTGTAATTTATTTTATTTGTGTTTTTGAGGTGGACTTGGATTCACATTCATCGAGTATTGGAGCATGTCACGGGCTTGAAAATCCTTGGTGGGACAAGTTTACCAGCCCACTTAATTGTTAGTTTAAAGACACAAGAGCATATAATGCAAATGGAAGGCATGATGGATCATAGTGTGTGTGTGGACCACAATTCCCTGACACCGTCAACTCCTTAATCCCCACTTGCCCTTCCCCAAATTTCAGGGTAAGACAATAGTGGAGGAAACCTAATTCTTCAACCTTACCAAGAGGTGGTCCAAACTCTAAACACTTCCTATTATCAATTTCACAAACCTACCCTAATCACATTATTATTTCATCATTTTTCCTGCTCATTTAGGAAAATATAGGTGCACCAAAGTCTTATCATATTATTTACCTATTTATCTAATAAGATCATCCTAATAACAAAAGATTGAGATAGAAAAAGAGTTACGCCCAATTTTCATTACAATTTTAATAATTTTCCTTACAACTAAAAAATAATTATTTATTATTAGGATATAAACAAGTCTCATATCAATAAAAAAAAATAACAATTTTATAAAACACACTCATACTTCAATAATTGATAGTCTTCTGGATGATGACCAAAAATAAAAATTATGAGGATTTATACCAAAAACAAACAATATCAATAATCTTATCAAAATATTTCCTCAAATAAATATTATAAAATAATCCTAACATTTACCTATTTAAAAAGAAATAAATTATTAATCGTCTAAGATAGTCTCATATACGAATATTAACATGCATACATACAATCACAAAACATTAAACAAGAGGAATGTAACCGAATCACACAAAATTATTCTCATGCTGATTTTAATGAAAAAATATTAAATTAAATGATCCAAAACTAATATATGAGTCAATCTCCATGTAACATATAATCAATTTTTTTTATTTGAAAAAAGAAAGACTAGATAAAATTCAATTATGTGTCACACGAATATTATGGAGTTTTTAACAGGTTAATAATTAAAGGGAGAAGAATGATTTGTTGGAACTGATTACCAAGATGTCACTAGCTAATTCATGTGTGTTCCAATTTTCTCCACAAGAAGTTGTGTGGCAATGGAAGATGGCATTGTATGGCGTTAATGAATCGCATAAAGATGAATATCGCGAATGAATCATAAAAAGACAAAGGAAATAATAAGTGGCAAGTGAGGGGTTAGGCTGCAAATTGCAATATGGAATACAGCCCCCAATGAAGGGTCACTTCACACGCTCAGTGCGTCTTTAAGCTCCCGTTGACTTTTCATAAATCTCATCCATTACTTCAAATAATTCCACATTTTTCACCTTAAAATTCAATCTTCATAAACATAAAAATCACGTTACTTTATTTTTATAGAGACTGAATTAATAAAAAAAATTACACCTTCAGAACAAGCAACACAACCTACCTTCTAGAAGTGGGGTAGGAAAGCCCCAATTTCTTTATCGCCAAACTCCTTCTAATTACACAACACCTTCCTCTCTTTGGACAAATGCTTCATCATTCAGCCTTCTAACACCGTCTTCCACTAGCCTTCATTTGAGAAGGGAATAGTAACTAAGAAGCAAAATTTAAAATTTAAATAAATAATTGTCTTAAAGAAAAATCAACTAAACAAAAATACACATCATTAGGCATATTTTTACTTGTAACGTTAGTTTGGGCGGGTAAAACTAAAATAACAGCTGGATTGACAAAATCATTATTCGTGGCGTTTGGATGAAATTGAATTGATTCGTTTCTTACACAACAAACTCATTTACGAAGTTACAATTACAAGTCACACTATTTGTAAGAAGGGAATCCATCACAAAAAAAAAAAAAAAGAAGAAAAAAAGCATTTCTCTCGTCCAAATCCAAATCCAATCATTCCCACCTAGATCTAAAATAACCCACGCTGCCAAACACCTTTGAGTGGCATCGGAGGCAAAATGATAGTCCTTTCCCTATTGCAATTGCTCCCAGAACAAGAAAAGGTAAGAACAAATAATCACTCAACCAACAAGGTTTCTTCCAAACCACCCCTAGGTTAATCTTGGTCATAAAGGCAAGGCAAAAATCAAAATCAAAACCACAATAAAGCTACCTTGCCCCTATCATCACATGGAAATCGAATCAATTCTATTCATTACCGCCTTATATATAATAATTCAAACATTACAAATTTCAGCAAAAATAAAATAAAAGTCAAACCAATCGGAGTTTCCAAGAGTAAAGAAAAAAAAAATAGCACGGATATCTAACTACATCTATGTTATAGAGCAATACTGAATTTCTTAACTAATATAATACACAGAGACAATGCATACATACCCACATGGGAGCCATAATTACTTTCTCTTTTTTTTTTTTTTTCCTAAATAAAATGAAACCCAGGAGTCAGGACAGAATCTTGCTCTCACAGAATTAAGATCATATTACCACAATCTTACATCTGATCATCATTTGAAACATTTGTTCCGCACAACAATAATAAGAAAAAAATGAAGTGAAAAAAAATGAGAAATTAAAAAAGATTGGACGATCAGAGACAAAGCGCGGTGCAGCGGAGGTCGTCGTCCGCATCGTCAAACGGCAGCGCGTTGAGATCAAAGGGCAAGGGAGGCCGAAACGAGGAGGAGACGATGTTGTCGTCGCCGTCGTCCACGACGGAGGAGGAGGAGTCGCAGTCGCTGTGGCAGTCTTCGGGGACAAGTGGGGGAGTGCGCGGGTACCTCCGCGTGGCGGCCAAAAACGGCGTCGCAGTGGGAGGGCGGGGCCCACTGAAGGACTCAACGGTGCTACTCATCCCACTCGATGTGGGCCTCTGAGGGTTGTTAACGTTGTTGTTGTTGTTGTTGTTGCTGCTGTGGTCGTAGTAGAAGAAAGCATCGGTTGTTGGGTTTTGCTGTTGTTGGTAACACAACTGCGAGAGAGGGAAATTTGTTTTCGCCTTCGGACCTCGGAGACTCCGAGCGGCGGCGTCGTAGGCGCGTGCGGCTTCCTCCGCCGAATCGAATGTTCCCAACCACACTCGAGCTTTCTTCAACGGGTCTCTGATCTCCGCCGCGAATCTCCCCCACGGTCTCTTCCGAACGCCGCGGTAGCGCGGCTCCTTTAAAACGGATCCGTTGGCCTCCACCGCCGTGGGTCCTCCTCTACCCCGCCGCATCTCTTCGGAGAAATTAATGAACAAAAAACCAGACACCCAGGTTGGGGCGACAGAACAAGTTGCGATTTTGGGTGGAATTCGAAGCTTAGAGAGACATGGGAGGGTGTGTGATATTAATGGGTGTTCACAAGTGGTGGGTGTTAAGGATATGAAGTTATAAGATGATGAGGATGAGGGTAAGAGAGAGAAAGAGGAGAGAGAAAGAGAAAGAATTGAAGGCGGTACCACTACCACCTTCTCCTCTTCTTCTTCTTCTTCTTCTGCTCCTTCAACCACACACACATAAAAATATATTATTAATAAAAAATATCCATCTCAACTCTCAACTCTCAACTCTCAACTCTCAACCGTGTTCGCGTTTTTCTTCTCTCTGTGGGTTTCCTTTTCCTCTCTCTCTCTCTCTCTCTCTAATACCATTTCTTTTTTCTTTTTTGTTTTTATTTCTTTACCTTCCGTCGCAAACTCACCTCTTCTCTTGCTTTCTTTATCCCCTCCCTACTTTATCTTTTTTATTTATTTATTTTTCTCGATTACGAATTACGAAGAGTGAGTTGTGTAATGACGAGAAGGCCCTTGGGGTTTCTTGAAGGTAAATTTGCCCTGCAGGCTTGCATTGGTTGGTGTACTTTTCATTGGGTGAGGTCCCTTTCATGATATCATGCCACTGTTTATTTTGTATCTTTATTTTTTTCTACTTTTTTCGGTGGGCACACAGGCTGCTAAATCAATGCACATCATCTTACTCTTATCTGTATCTTCAATCTTAATAAATAATTTCTTCTTTTTTTTCCTTGTTAAGCAATGGATTTCGATTTTGAAGATATTTTACGCCAATTTCTAAATCTACGTCGTATTTTTTTTTCTTTTTTGATAAATAATTTATTATTATGTTTATTCATTTCAATTATTTTGGCTCAGGACCGAGAGTTGATTGTGCCATGCGAGAGAAACATTCATATATAGCTGGCCAAATATTATTTTTTTTAGTAAAAAAATTATTAATCATTAATTGGAGTGAACTGACTTTCTTTTAAATTAATCAGCAATCTAATTTGTAGTGCGAACTATGCAAATTTTTTCATACTACGAGATCTTTTATTAATACGAATTATAATTCTATATTATATGGCAAAGGAAAAATTACACCAAGAAAAAAAAAATACATGTCTGGAAATTTTTAAATAGACATGAATGGCCTCCATCTTGGATTGAAGAAGAAAAAGAAAAATCAATTTTCAGACTTCCTGATCAAGCTATACAAATCTTGTAGTTGGAGGCCTATATTTTAAAACAATAAAATTATTTTAAGATTCTTATACAACAGTCGCATAAATATTTATATACCAAATATATATAAAGGTATAGAAAATTTAAAATGGTTTCAATTTATATGACTATAAATTATAAAGTCATCTATGATATTACATATATATCATGTACTTATATATAATATACATCAAAATACTAAAAACATAAATCCTATCATTAATTAATGTCTTTGTACAACTAATACTATATAAGAACCGTATAAGCAAAATAGGTCATCTCTAACATAACTTTCACCCACAAGCCAACTATCAAAGTTAATCTTATTTTACTCTTATATTAAGTATAATCATTACAGTTTAACTACAATGACAATAAATTATAAGCTTATGGAATAATCAATCATCATAAGTACGAAATTCACAACTTAAAAAACTTCAACCATTAGCTCATAACATGACATCAACTTAAAACATCCACCACTAATTCATAAAATTAAAAAAAAAAAAAACAAATCAACAATTGGTCAACATATGAACAACTCATGATGAATGGCAAACAACTAAGAAACTCCAAAAACAATTGAACAGCATAAACAACTGATGTGTTATCACGTATATTAACTTGTGAAGATTTTCTACGACTACAGTAAGTAGTTAATAGCTTGACTCTATCGAACCACAGTTAGTGAAAAACCAGAAACAACAACTAGTTATCAAACTATACACAATGGCTAGCACGGTGACCATGATTGCTTTATCAAGTTTTGTCACTTAAAGAATAAAAGTATATTACTATTATCAATGTATAACAACTTCGATTTGAGCTTATCATGCCCTTAACATGCATAACTAAATATCTTGTGAGATTAGCTTGTCGACTATTCTCTAAATACTATACACTTTCCCAATTATCAATTAAAAATTTTAACAATCAACTTTATACCTTTCTCACTTTGTCACTCCATACATATATGCATTGACCTAACCCTCATACAAACCCACATAAAATCTAAAGAAGACAACTTACAAACACCTTCTCATTCAAAGGCCAACCACTCACTGAGGGATTATCAACTATGGTCTCTTTGAGTACAACAACTTATATTTCATTAAAGGAATATTTTAATTTATAAAACAATTTTACTCTCTTTCAATTTATATATATATATATATATATATATATATATATCAATTGAGACATGTATAACACCATCACATGTCTAAACATCTTAACAACCTAATCAACTATAAACAACATACAACTTACAACTTAATCAACTCCAACCATATATCAATTTTCAACTTAGCAACTGAAAACATCACTATAGATCATCATAGATTAATGCATAATAACCTATAGCCATACAACATCATTCACCATGTGAGTAATCAATATACTGTAGTCATTTTGAACACTTAGTCAACTAACAAGTTTCTCATTCAATTACCCACACTCAGCGCCACTCTTTCAGTGGCTAACACCATCAAGTAAAGGTGTAACCGAGTATGAGTAACTCAGTAACTCAAATTGTCCCAAATTGATCCAGTGATTTTTGATTGAATATTTTTAGCATTTAGGGTTAAATCTAACCCAACCTGATCAAAACTCAAAATGTACAAGTCTAGTAATGAGTTTTGTATTTTTTAACCTATAACTCAACCCAACCAGATCATATATAATAAAATTAATAATGATAATATTAATAAATTATTGTTTAGATGATCACTTGATTGGGATAATATTCTTTGTCACTGTTGCTTAATAATAATTTTGTGTGTTTAGAATTAATAGTATTATAACAATACAATAATTTTATTTTGTATTAATGTTTGTTGTTTGAAGTAATAACAATATAATAAATCAACAAATTATTTTAAAATTTAGTTTGTATCATTATTTATTTAAAAAAAATAGATTTTGATGAGATTTTATGCCAATTTCTAATAATAATCCATATGTTTTCTTCTAAGAAAAGAAACAAGTTTATTTTTTTTTTCCATTTCAATTATTTCAACCTAGGGTGTCCAGTTAAATGAATCTCATCCATTTAAACATTTTTTTTAATCATTTATGATATGTAACATTATCAAATATTAAAATTAAAAGAAGTATGAGATTTCATCCGGTTGTTTTGAAATTAGAGAGGATTTTTCCGCATATCGTAGGAAATACACCTATTTTCAATGGGCACACGCAGAGTGGTAAATACACAGAGGATCTTATATGTATCTTAAATCCAAGTAAATAAATATAATACGCATACTTTGAAGGAATATATCTTGATTTTTGAAATACTTAACGCCATTTTTTAATATTAAACTCTGAATCTCCCTTTTAGAAAGGAAACAAGTTTATATCCTCTTTTAATTCATTTCAATTGTTTTAACTGAAGGTGGTCAAATTGAGTGTGTTGCGTGCCAATATCATTCATATATAATCAGACAAATATTGACTCTCTTTATATGTATTTTTCCATAGGAACTTTATTAAGTTGGTGCGAAATAACTTTATTTTTAAAATAATCGGCACTTAAACTACTTATGTGAACTATACCTGTTTTCAGTAGTAAATGCACAAATGATCTTATTTGTATCTTAAATCTTAATAATAATAATAATAATAATAATAATAATAATAATGATAATTTTTTAGTGGCTACACACCGTGCGGAAAATCCGTAAATGCATAGATGATTATTTTTTTTGTTTGTATCATAAATCTCAATAAATAAATACAATTTCTTCTTATAAAGCAATGGATTTTGATTTTGAAGAGATTTACACCAATTTCTAATAATAATCCATAAATTTTATTATATAAACGGAATATTTTTTTCTTTCCTTTTCATTCATGACATATATTTCAGCCAATTATTTCGATAGAGAGTGAAAGAGCTGGTTGTGCCGTGTGCAAGTTCATGCATACCTGGCCAAATATATATATCTTTTCATTTGATTTTTTAATAGGAACTCTATTAATTGTTAGTTCGGAAAATATATTCGGACATTCAAATGCTAGTAGGTAAAAGAAAGAAACATATGGATATGATAGAGAAATAAATAGAAATAAATAAAAGTTGTTGATGTGGTGCTTAATAATTTAGAATGTCCAAAAATTGTTACCATCTAAGTTTCAATAAAAAAAATTGTGTAAGTTGTAAAATAATTGCTTCTTCTTTTTTTTTTTTTTTCCTTCTAACTAAACTAATTAAAAGTGTTCCCATTTAATTCCATTAAATTGAATTAAAACTTAGTTTTGGACAAAACATATTAAAAAACATAAACTTAAAAAAAATATGGAATTGGATTAAATTACTTTAATCTTTAAATTACCCATCCATTGGAGAGTAAATAACTAAATACCTCTGCTTCTCATTTATAAAGGAGAGAGAGAGAAAGAGAATAATGCACGTCTATATGCTCACTCTTTTGGCATGACCCCATTAATTTCTTCTTTGCAAACATTTTATTTTTATTCCCTTGAACCAAACATTTACATAAAGAAAAATGCAAACACACCTCCCCAATTCACTATCCTAAACTCTTTATTGTTTATCGTAAAAATTAAAAGAAATAATAATAACTATACACGGGTTTTGGTTGAATTTCAGAATCTGATTCCACGCAAATTTTAGAAACCAGACCAAGTTACATTCATAGGTGGGGTTAAGACACCACATGCCATCTGGGTCGACGACATGGTCAACCATCATTAACACCATTCACCATGAATTAAGGTTTTGGTTAACTAAGTCATTATTTTTTAATCTAAGAACCAATAATACGTAAAATCTAATTATTTTAAAATATTTTTAGATAATTTCGAAAGTAGCGTGTAAAATACATTTTCAAACGAGGAAGCAAATAAAACATTAACATGATTAATTAAAAAAAGTAATTATTTAAACTATATATTTTAATGTATAATATAAGAAAACATGGTATCAATTCCTGCGCATTCTTTTACACACGGGAAGAAGCTCATATTCAAACCATATAATGCATTTAAAAAATTGCCATGCTTTAAGGCTGCATCGTTTGCAATGACATTCTTTTACATATTTTAAATTTTGAACTATATAAGTCGGTTTTGCCCGATAGAATTATATTATTGAGGATTTGAACAAATGAATAGGATTGCATTTGATTATTTCCGTTGAATAAGATATATGTTCCCAATTAATATTCCAAATTCATTAAAGAAAC